GTATATGTGTGTGTTCTTGTTATTGCAGGATTTCAGTGAGAGCGAAAAACTGTTAATTAGTGATGTCATAAATAGCTCATTCTCTACTTAAACCAAAGACAAGAGAATCAACTTGTTTTGCTTTTGCTCTTCTTCCATTTTTTTAATTTTAATTTTTAAACTACTTATTAACAGAGTCAATGTGCTTTGTAGATACAATGCTAAGAAAATAATTATATTCCCTTCCTACAACTTTTTCTCTTTTTTTAAAATTTCATTTAAGGCATTCTAATTTCATGTATACAGATTTAGGGTCATAGTGATACTTCCAACTTACCCTCCCTCCCATCCAGTTCCCACCCCTCTTCCTCCTTCCTCTCCTAAGCTCTCTCTTCATTTTTAGAATGATCTGTTTTCAGTTTACTTTATACTCATAAAATTAGCCTTTAAAGTAAAGAGTTCAACAAATACTATGAAGAAAAATACTTGTCTCTCTGCCTTAAAGCTCTCTCCCTTTGACTTGGCTTACTGATGAGCTATGCTTCTTGTCACACGAATGTTTTCCCACCGGTGTGATGCCCTTCTTCTGGGCCCTAGAATCTAATTTAAACTAGTTCCTGTGAAGATCCAAAATGTCTGCAAAGACTTTTTTTTCTCTCCTGCACTTTTCAAGACAGAGAAAACATAAGATAGGAACAGAACATTTTGTTTTTTCTGTTATCCATGGCACTGCTTCAGATGAAATGTGAACACAAAGCTTTTAATTCCCAGACCTTTATGTGAATGAGCTCTGCTTACCTGAGACATCTCCTCTTCCTGGAGTTATGTCAAAGTGCTGAATGCCTCTGTTAGTTCCTAATAACAGTGTTTCCAGGTAAGGGAAGCATGTCATTTGCCTTTAAGGATGTCCAGTTTTGTAAGCTGCCTTGTCACAACCAGTTACCTTCCCTTTGGAAACAGGATCTCTCTGGTGTCAGGTCTCCTTCCTGAACTGAGCCCATCTTTTGTTTTGCAAGTGAATATTTTATATATCCTCTGCTCATGTTAGGATTTCTGTGGGTGTTTTGCAAAGGGCATTATCTTAAAAAAATTTAAATTCATATAGCAATATAATCAACCTAGGGAGTCAAAGGTGTGGGGAGCAACTGGGAGCAACTCGGACTAGACTAAGTTACTGGAATTAAGACTTACTCTATGCATCTGCTCTCCCACAATATGGCGCTGAGAAGGGAAACAGCTTCTACACAGCTGCCTCCAGTTCAACCAATAAACTGTAGGACCTGCTCCTGATTGGAGGAGAGCAGCGTACTCGGCGTGTGGGTAGCAGAGTTGGGATTGGTGGAAGAGGACTATAAAGGAGGAGAGAGACAACATGCACCAGGAACATCTAAGGGGAACATCTGAGGGAACACCTGTGCAGCCCCCGAGAGAGCCGGCCGGTGGTGTGCTGCTCCCCCGCGGAAGTGGGGAAAGTGGCCAGGGGGAACCGCCCTTCCATGGAGGTGGAAGGGTCGGTAGCCAACCCGGGAAGAACCAGCAGCAAACCTGGGGAGGGCCGAGCAGACGAAAGAACAACGCAGGGTCCTGTGTCGTTCCTCCACGAAGAGGGGGAGCGACAAAAGGTACATCAGGGGAAACAAATTTCCCTTTCTTAAACACAGCTACTGTAAATGTGGCTAATGGTTTGTATCAGCATCACAATACAAATATTTTATTTTCCAATGAGGCAAGATGTTTTTCCCACCCCCACAGTTACCCTTAAAGACCAAATCAATTTTTTTGGTTAAACCCAGTATGTGAAAATCCACAAGTTGTAGAGAGAGAATCTATGGCTTAAACTGAGCAAAAATTAATAAGCCTCCATCCAAATAAGAATGAGTTCTACAGCCTTTCTCTGCCATTTTGAGTCTTAACAGATTTCTCAAAGTCTAAATATCTCAGCTGTTTCCTATTTAACTTGCTTTAGGAAAGGCAAAATATATCCAACAGTTTCATTTCTATCAGTCTAGTTTGTTAGTCACTGACCACTATTACAGCATTTTATTGAGCATCTATATGCTAGATTTATAAGATCCTAAAGTATTTACTAGAATTTTGCTATCCATTCTTTGTGAGATGCCAGACAAGGTATTTATCAACATGAAGCCTCAATACTCCATATCTTAGTCAGAAAAATGGGAATAATGAAAATAAAGAAGGACCTAATTCATAAGATTACTTGGATGATTAAATAAGATATTTATTAAAGATATTCTGAAAGAGTCTGACAGCTAATAAATGTTGGATAAACTGTTGCTTTCATTATTGTCTCCATGAAAGCTACAGTTGCTAAAAGCTGGGAATGTGAACCCCTCAAAAATCAGTCCTCCCCTTCCAGGATCTCACTGTTTCTCTGGGGAAAATTATAAACATGCAAGCAAATAGGGTATATCCAGTCCCTGTGGTAAGGACCAGGATAAAAATACCAGATGCCTCTATTAGACAGCAGAGGAGGAAAGTGTTAATTCTCAGTGGGTCTATTTGCAAAGGCTTCATGCGAAGACAGCATTATTCAGACTCTGAAAGACAGGTGCTTTGTTGTCAACTTATTGTTACCTTACCTAAAATACCTGAGGGGAAAAAGCCAGGAGGCAAGAAGTTTTGTTTCAGCGTAGAGTTTGGAGGTTCACACTCCATGATCAGCCTTCTCTCCTGGTGAAGGCTGGCCATTGCAGAATGTGTGCAGATGGTCTGTTGCATGGCAAGCCAGGAAGCAGAGGGGCACAAGAAGCACACTGTTCCTCTACTTCTTGGTGGTCTCTCTGATAAAGCCTTGTGATGGATCATAGAGCTAAACCCTGGCAACCTAATCCAATCCAATCACTTCCCAAAGACGCCACCTTCAGACACCCTCATTGGATCAAGCCTCCAACCATTAATCCATTAACTAACTGGTTTAAACACCTGTTTGAGTGTGGGGAACTAAATCCTGTTCCATCTGTAACAGCAGTGGTTAGAGGGAGGGCATTGCCAGAAGAGGAAATCAAGTACAAAAAGATACGGAGTTGTCAAAAGGCTATCCCTGGATCAGTAAAAACTCAGGCTTCATAAATACGCAGGGAACAAATCAAAGTGTGATGAGAGATCTGTCATAGCTTCAACACAGACTGTGGACTTCCCTTGCTTTCCGTGAGGATGGTTTGGTGGCTTGCATATTCCAGAAAGTCAATATTTATACTGAGCTAATGCTGTCATTCACAAGCAGTATGGTTTGTGGGTTAAATGGCACTGTGCCTCCCCAATGGAAAAAATAACATTTGAGTCTAATTGTGTCATTCATGTCCTAATTTTAAAACATCCTATGGTAACACTACACAGCAAAGGAACACTCAGAGTCAGTAGAACAGATGTAATGTTTTCTTTCCTGATCCACTAGCTCCAACCTCTGAGTTCATGAAATTCTTTGAGTTTCTTTCCGTAGCATGCTGTGCTCATTCATCAGCCTGAGTCATTTTATCTGATTGGGCCCAATCTCCCCCTCCTTGGCCCGCCTCCTTTTGCTGCTGAATAAATCATCCTGGGCTATGTCCAGGTTGGAGAAGGATTTTTATAGGAAAGTTCCATCTGCCTTCAACCTCTCACTTATTCAGGCTGGGTCCTTGGGCCCTCTTGGAGAAAGAGTTAAGAAACTAAAGAGGTGTTTTCCTCTGCCAAGTTTCTAACATGGCCACTAGCACACACTCGGGGCAATGCCCACACACAGAGGACACAGCTCTCCACACATCCTGGCTTAGGCTTTACAAAACATAAAAAAAATAATAATCCTCCCAACTCCCAGGCCTGTCTGAGCTCCCTCACTGCTTGTTCCTCGTTCTGGAATTCTCTGTGCAAGACTCACGACCCGTTATGAGTTTAAACCAGAGTCCATATGCGAGAAGAAGGAAGAATTGCAAAGTCAAGAATTAAACCTCTTGTCTCTGATACACAGGCTTCACTCATAACGCTGGAAGTAGAGCATGGGGTGGGACTGGGACGTGGAACGCCGTTCTGGCTCCTGGCCGGCAGGAGGAAGGGGAGTTCTCTCCCCTGGGGCAAGGGAATTTCTCTCTCTCTCTCTCTCTCTCTCTCTCTCTCTCTCTCTCGGGAGAGGCTGCGGGGGCGGCCAGGAGAGGAGGTCATTTGGGCTTCCACGGGGCGCCACGGGGAGCGCGAAAGCGCTCAGGACCTGACGTCATTGGCCATCAGCTGACTGTGCTCCGCTGGCTACAGCCGCAGTCACACCTCCCCTGCTCTGCCACCTGCAGCCCGGCTCGCGAAGCTGCGGCCGCTCTCGCCCTGCGCACCGGCACCCAGGGAACCCTCTCTGCCTGGCGTTGGCGCCGGCACTGGACGCCTATGGCACTGTGACTTGGTCCGCGGCCAGCGCCGCCCTGGGCTTTGTAGGCAGCAGCTCCGCAGATCCCGGGTGGGCGGGAAACCTAGGTTCCAGGCTGTCCCCTGAAAATGCCATTCTGACGTCGTCCTCCTCGACCCTTACTGTAATTGGGGAGAAACTTGGTGCGTGAGGCCTGCCGGAGACGGCCCTATTTTTAAGCCCTGCGCCCTCCAGCTCTCCTATGTGATGTAGTAAACAGATCGCCTGCTCCTGGCATTGCATCTTCTTGGGGGGGGGGGGGGGGGTTGCTTTTAGTGGAAAAGTTGGTTTCGCCAAATGACGCCCAGGTGCGGAGGGCAGGAAGGAGAACTTCCTTCCCACCTCTCCGGGCTCTGGGAGTCCTTGGGGAAAGCGGCCTAAGGGTCCTGGCTCTGCACCTGCCTAGGAGCAGAGCCAGCGCCTAAAAAAGAACAGCGGAGGAACGGGCTCGGGCGGCCAGCGGCAGCGCTGGACAGCAGCGCTGCTGGAGCACGCCGGCGAGCCGCCCGCGCCAACCTGCCGGGGTCTGCTTCCACGCCAGGCCGTGCGGGCGGCTGCCTCCGAGACCTGGGGGCGTCCTGGCCAGATCTGGATGCCAGGTCCCAGCCGCTCCCCCTCCTCATCCCTCCGCCAGTTCAGGGGGCGTGGCTTAGCTCGGGGGCGGGTCTAAGTCGCCGCCGGTGTCTGACCGCTCTGACAGGTCTCTAAATTCCTCCCGACCGCCGGGTACCCGCAGCGCGCTTCGGAGCGCCAGGGTGGCACGCGGCGCTCGCCTGCATCGGGAGGCGTCCCGGGTGACCTCCACGCTGCCTCGGGCCTCCTTTCTCGCCCAAACCTAGCACCCACCGCCCCCGCCGAGCTTCGGTTCTAAAACCCCCAGGGACCCGCACCATCAGTTTCTCGGAGCTGTCTGCTTTGGAGCCCTCCTCACTTTTTGTTTCCCCTGCCTCCCGCTCCTCGTAGCTCCGGGCCAAATGGACTCCAAAGAGCGAAGTGAAGGGGATGGGAACGGTGCGCTACGACCTCTCCGAAGCACAGCTGGAAGCACTGAGCGCGCCTTTTAGCCGAGGCTGGGACCCTGGGGCTGGCGCCACCAGCCCCCCACCTTCCCGGGGGAGGCTTCTGGCCAGATACTGCGCTGCGCTGTCAGTCTTCGCCGTGGAAGTGGCGACAGCCAGGAAGGAGCCAAGGAGGGAGCCTCGGCACACCCCTTCCTCCAAATTAACTGTTTGGTGACTTGTTAGCGCTGAGCCTACCACCTCTCCGACACTCCCGCGGGGCGTCCAGCCACCTCTCGGACCCCCGTTCCTCCTTCTTCTCTGCCCCCGCCCCCAGCTCCGCCCCGGCTCCCATCCCGGCGCAATGGAGTTCTCCGAAGGGTAATGCACAGCTGCTAACTTCGCTACCACCGCCGCCGCTGGTCGCCCCCGGCCATCCCCCTGCAGCCGCCAAGCCGTGGGCGTCCGGAGCCCAGTGCCGCAGCCAGGGACCCGCCCGACGCGCAGCAGAAGCACGGCGCCCCGGCGCCTGGGCGCCTCTTGGAGAGCAAAGGCTGCGCCAAGACGCTGAGCCTAGAACCAGCCACGGAGCCAGAGCCCGGGAAGGGGCTGAGTGGCTCTGAGCTCCGCGGCTTCTGCGGACAAAAAGCCGCCAGCGCCGCTGCGCACGGGGGCTGCGCCGGCTGGCGGGAGGGCGGCGCGCAAGGACGCGAGAGTCCACTTCGATCTTCCAGGAGCCCTTTGCCCCGGGGCGCAATATGACCTGACCTACCAGGACCCTGCCAAGGGCACCTGCAACGGTGCAGCTGAGGAAAGAAGGGCTTTCTGCCAAGCACCCAACAGGAGACTTTCGGGTCTTCAGGACCCCCTCCCCAGCCGCCTCCCCCAGGTCCAGCGCCGGCGGACGGGCGCCATGGAGCTCTCCGATGTGCGCTTCCTTAGCGGCAGCGAGGAACTCTACACCATCCACCCGACGCCCCCGGCCGGCGACGGCGGGAGCGGCTCCCGGCCGCAGCGGCTGCTGTGGCAGACGGCGGTGCGGCACATCACCGAGCAGCGTTTCATTCATGGGCACCGGGGCGGCGGCGGCGGCGGGAGCGGAGGCTCCGGGAAAGGCTCGAACCCTGCGGGCTGCGGCCCCAACCACCACGCACCTCAGCTGTCCGGCGAGTCCGCGCTGCCGCTCTACTCGCTGGGCCCCGGGGAGCGGGCGCACAGCACCGGTGGCTCCAAAGTCTTCCCGGAACGCAGCGGGAGCGGCAGCGCCAGTGGCAGCGGGGGTGGGGGTGACCTGGGCTTCCTGCACCTTGACTGCGCCCCGAGCAACTCCGATTTCTTCCTCAATGGGGGCTATAGCTATCGAGGGGTCATTTTCCCCACCTTGCGCAACTCCTTCAAGTCCCGGGATCTGGAACGCCTGTACCAGCGCTATTTCCTGGGCCAAAGGCGCAAGTCGGAGGTGGTGATGAACGTGCTGGATGTGCTGACCAAACTCACCCTCCTGGTTCTGCACTTGAGCCTGGCCTCAGCACCCATGGACCCGCTCAAAGGCATCCTGTTGGGCTTCTTCACTGGCATCGAGGTGGTGATCTGTGCCCTGGTGGTGGTCAGGAAGGACACCACCTCGCACACGTACCTGCAGTACAGCGGCGTGGTCACCTGGGTGGCCATGACCACCCAGATCCTGGCAGCAGGTCTCGGCTACGGGCTCCTAGGTGATGGCATAGGCTACGTGCTCTTCACGCTCTTCGCCACGTACAGCATGCTGCCGCTGCCGCTTACCTGGGCCATTCTGGCTGGCCTGGGCACCTCGCTGCTGCAGGTGGTCCTCCAAGTGGTCATCCCTCGGCTGGCAGTCATTTCCATCAACCAGGTAAAGCTTGCCTGCCCTGCTCTTCCGCCCCACCCCCTCGACTTGTTTAGGAATCGCTCAGAGCGATCCAGGGTTGCCTCCCTCTCTGTGGGCCCCCTCCCCCAGCCTGGCACTGTGCCTGACACCAAGGGGAGCCTTGGCTGTGAGTGGGATGGTATCTCTCTTTCTCAGGGGATCTGGAGCCAAATGACCTCTAAAAGTTTTGACCAACTCTCTACGCTTCTACTGTGATGCTCTTTGTAATTCTCTGACATCAGCTAAGAAAGTCTCTCTGCTCCTCATGCCCTCCCACCCCACCCTCGACCTGCCATCCCTGGAGCAGGAGACAGAAAGGGAAGGGAAGCACCTGTTCTCTATCAGCTTTACCCCTAGGAGTCACAGCTTGGTGTGGGAAGGACCCTGGAGTTCAGAGTTGGGTATCTGTCTATCTCCATGCCACAAATCCTGAGTTTGCAAAGGAACCAACATTTGCTAAACACAGACTTGTCGCCAGTCCTGGATACCATCCATGTGTTAATCTCACCCAGTCTTTAAAACAATCCTGTGACACATGAGTTTTTGGGAAAATGTTTATTATGTTTATTGCCTTGGGGATCTGAGATATCATCTCTCATTACAGGATCCAAAACCCAATAAATGAATCTCAGGAGTTGGAGAAGCCAAAATCTTTGACAAACAATGCGTATTTTGAGTCACTGAAAGGGGGTATTTTGATGTAGATTATTTGAAATATGTAGGTGGAATCTCACTCTTAGGTCTTTTTTTCTCCCTGTACTTCCTTATTAAATATGGATGTGTTCCTGTGAACAAAGTTCATGCTGTCTGAGGTTGAGAAGTTAGACAATGATTCTGTTGTTTACACTCACTAAACCAATACATCGTTAATGGCCCAGCACTTCTTCACCAAATGCTGGTAGGTACCAGGAGACTGAATTTGAGGGCTTCTTGAAAATTAGGGCAGCATGTCAGCTAAAGTGTTTTCACTTAGAAGGTTGAGGTGAGGTGCGTGGACAGGGATCCACCTTATGTGTCTCTGGTCTGTCCTCAAACTCAGTGTCCCTTTTTCCATATTAGAAACTTAAAAGTTCCTCTTCCTTCTGGTCAGGTTTGAAGAAATGGGTTTTAAAAGAAGCAGGTACAAGAAGACGACTCTTGGTTTTTAGATCTGGCATCGTTAGAGTCTTTATTCATCACTGACCTCTGGGCTTCTGGTCTATTTGGTGCCCTATCTCCTCTCTGATGGCTCTAAATCCATTTCCTCAGGTTACTTATCTGTTTAGCTGCCATTTAAAGTCTCTCTGGGTGAAAAAAAAAAGAGTATATAAAGTGCATGGCTGTGATCATCCGTCATGAAATGGGAAGATGAAAGCTGCTCTAAGGGCTTATCAGTTACATTTCTCCTTGTTAAAGACAATAATGAATTTTATCTCAAAGTCATCATGAACTTGCAATACCCACTTATAGTGCATTCTTGACTTTCAAAGAAGTCATATACTTTCTTTAGGATTATATGAAACTATGCAATGTACTAACCGTGTTTCTCAATCCTGCATGCACCCAGATCTGAATCCCAAAACATAAGAATCTGCCTTCTTCTCAGATTTCTCAATCTCTTTTGCATGGTTCTGTATCATATATTTAGAATCAGTGATCTTTTCTTCCCTCACTTGTTCCTCTTCCCCTTTCTCCCTCTCATCTTAGCTATTTCCCTTCTCCCCTCCTCTTTCTTCATGTAACTCACTGAGTTTTTTCATAATATATTGCAACTGTAGGATTATGTGCATAAAATTTCATTTGTTATAACCCACTGCCTTTCATACAGTAGCCTTTCTTGGTACACATTACTAAAAGACTTCATCAAGTAACTTTGGAATAGTATTTAGAATAACACATCCAAAGTGGCAAAGTATGAATATTTTCAAAGTTCTAAGTATAGAGATACTTTTCTTGCCAAATGAATCCAGAAAGTAAATTTTGGCTCCATCTTTGTTTTATACTCTACTCAAATACTACCAGATGGACAAGGATTAAAAATAACCCCCAAATGTCTTCCAATCCCACCTCATCATAAACAATCCTCCACTGTGAACACCAAAGTCCGGGTACATGCAAGCCACGCTGACTCAACTTTTGGCTCAGATAGGAATTGTAGGTAAACTATGGTTACATAGGTTGAGCCCCCTTTCCAGTTTCTGAAGGGAAAACCAGAGCGCTCTCCTTTCACTTCGGTGCTGAAGGAGCCTTTTTAAACATTTTCCTTTGGCGCCCTCTATGGGTTCAAGATTCCTTCCTATGTCTTGCACATGGATGAAACGGAGACCTAATTGCTTGCTTTAAATGTCATTTTTTGAGAAGGTACTATTTCATTTTCCATAGTTGGTAATATTTTAAGACATAGCCAAAACATGACCACTAGTTCTCATAGCAACAAGAGTAAAATCCTTGCTTCTCGTCAGGTACACTCAATCCTCTGAGCTGGTTACTGTTTCTGCATATTTCTTTGCTCCTCCTCAGACTCTAAACACATCATCCATTCTTCTGTCTTCAAATTTCCCAAGCTCTTTTCTTTTTTGAAGATTTTTATTTATTTATTTGAAAGTCAGAGTTACACAGAGAGAGGAGAGGCAGAAATAGAGAGAGAGAGAGAGAGAGAGAGAGAGAGAGAGAGAGAGAGGTCTTCCATCCAATGGTTCACTCCCCTATTGGCCGCAATGGCTGGAGCTGCACTGATCCGAAGCCAGGAACCAGGAGTTTCCTCCAGTCTCCCACGAGGGTGCAGGGGCCCAAAGACTTGGGCCATCTTCAACTGCTTTCCCAGGCCACAGCAGAGAGCTGGATCGGAAGTGGAGCAGCTGGGTCTTGAGCCAGCGCCCATATGGGATGCTGGCGCTGCAGACCAGGGCATTAAGCCACTGAGCCACAGTGCCAGCCCCATCCCCAAGCTCTTTTCTTACCCCTTTATTTTTGCACCATTGCCTAGAACAGTTTCTCCCAGGCCTTCATATGACTGTCACATTCTCACGGGTCTAGACTGTCATATACCGTGCTCTTCATTGCATGATTTGTTTTATTTTCTCCAGAACAATGCACTATCTGAAATTATCTTCTTTGTTTGTATTTACTTTGTTTCTCCTCCCCATCATCACAAGAATGTAAATACCATAAAGGCAAAAGGACATTGTCTATAATGTTTACTTATCCTTAGAATCTAGGAAAATGCTAGGCACATGGTAGACACTCAACTGTCATGAATGAATAAAACTCTTCAGCGTATAAGCAATATTGTGTTGTTCAAAACTCTCCCAAAGATGCATATGCACACACTTATACACATACAATTAAGTTGCCTGTGTGTAAAGCAGTCATTTACTCATAAACACCTCTTGGAGAAATCGAAGGACAATGATGATCATCTGAGTTTGCACAATTTTCACACATAACTAAGCACCTTTATGTCCATTATTGAATCAAAGGATGACAAACATGTGGCATAGTCCTTCCTTTTTATTTCAGAGAAGAAATAGCAGATTCTTAGAAGTATTAAAGGGACAGTCTGAAGATCAGGAGCCTAGTAGGGAAAGGATTCAAACCTTGGTTCCACTGCCAGTCATTCGTCAGCAGCATTTTAGGGTTTCTCATTCCAAACATACCAGCATTTAAAATTGTTCAAGAACCAGGAGTACATGTTTTACTATTTAAGAGAGTAATACTCCATATAGCACATGAATGAGCATTTAATGAAAAAGCCAAAGGAAAATTATGAGGGGAAAATAATGGAATTGATGGGCATAGTTCTTATCGTCCTACCCAGCTAGATACAAATGTGTCAACTGAAGGCCATAAACACAAGAATATCATCTTTCTCTGCATTAATTTAATTCCCTTTAAGAAGATGGCTCATGTTTAAATTTCGCATTTTCAAGAACTAGGAGACGGAAATGGTAGTACAGTCAGATCACCTTGGCAGCCTTTTCACTTCACCGAAAATGCCATTTTCAAACATAACAAATGAGCCAGCCTTCCCTTAATCCAAAATATGAGAATCTGCTTCTCCTCCCTGCCTCCTCAAGGAAACCTGTGGCTTGACCACGCAACATGCAAGCTACAAATACCTGTAAACTCTCGAGATGAAGGACAAATCCCATGTTCAGTTGGACCACCCTTTGCTTTACCCTGTGAATACAGGACATCCAGTAGATTTCTTGCCATCAGCAAAGAGAGTGTTAGGTCTCCTCCACTCAATTAACAGTAAAAGTCCTCAGTTTCCCACCCAAACACATGTTATTGTCTATGACCCACATTTGTTTTGGGGTCCAGAATGTCATTGGGAATCCTGAGCCCAGTTCAAAGGACCCTTTTATTTCACCCTAATGATATTTAGCAACAGGTAAACTTAGGGCTACAGTTATTGATTCTTTGAGAAGCCTTACCCAATTCAAGTTAAATCAACTATATGTTTGTGATTCAAGCCAATGACAGGGATGCCTCATACAGATTCTCTCTAAAACCTTGATTTCTTCCCACTTCTTTTTGTTTGTTTGTTTGTTTTAAAGATTTATTTATTTATTTGAAAGTCAGAGTTACACAGAGAGAGGAGAGGCAGAGAGAGAGAGAGAGAGAGAGAGAGAGAGAGAGAGAGATCTTCCACCTGCTGGTTCACTCTCCAAATTGGCTGCAACTGCTGGAGCTGCGCTGATCCAAAGCTAGAGGAGCCAGGAGCTTCTTCCGGGTCTCCCACACGGATGCAGGGGCCCAAGGATTTGGGCCATCTTCTACTGCTTTCTCAGAGCTGGATCAGAAATGGAGCAGCCAGGACTTGAACCGAAGCCCATATGTGATGCTGGAGCTTCAGGCCAGTGCGTTAACCCTCTGTGCCACAGCGCTGGCCCCTCTTTCCAGTTATTAAACCAACTGTTTATCCTGGTAGTTCAATTTATCCATCAGGAAATTCATTATAAAATGATATTATCTATTTAAATAAAATATTAATGATAAGGTTA